TTCCTTTGAAGCCACCAACCGTCGAGGAAAACTTATTTGGTAGCTGAGGTTGTTGTGCCCTCGGTTGACCAACTGCCCGCGGACTCCGGAGGGTGAGTGAGCTGGCGCTCCATCAATGCGAAAGCTACTAATGTATTTAACCCTTCACCTTTGAGCCAGTCATCAAGGTATAACCAGTACAGCTTTAGTAGTGGAATGCTCACCGTCGTGTTTCCTACTCGCGAATACTTGGATTAATTAGATTTCTAAACTAGAGAGTAAGCAATCTGTTGGCTACGCTGGATCGTTTGAAGCTTTATTGAATGATCCTCTGGTTATTCCGATCGTAGCACTCGAGCTATCCATTAAATCGCGACTCGCGTTTGAGATCTTTGGACGGTGTGATTGTGAAGCCGCTTTCAAAGAGTGTTTGAATCGTAGGTTTCCAGATCTACTGCTTGCGATTTAACCTGCATTTCTCTGACTGCTCACAAATCGTTTGATTTGGTATGTTCAGGTAATCAAGACATTCGCGTCTTCATTGAATACTTGCAGCCTCTATTTTGGTGGTTTTCCCCTCGTGAGTAAAAGCATATTCCCTATCCTCGAAGACTCCAAATGACAGGAAATGTTCGGGTTTCCTTATCATTTCCATGGCAAGAAGTCGTCATTCGTACGGCGTGGTTGAGTTTTGGTGAGTCACAAGGTTTCTTGGAAACATTTATTCAATCGTGGACTAGAACAACATGGACAAAACAATGTCACTGAGCTAAGATTTTTTTTTGGTATATCTTCTAAGATATCTTCGGTCCAATACTAGAGTTCCCAAAATAGGACTGTTAAATTACAAGCGGTGAGCAAGCTGGCTAATTAAACCTCAACTCACGGTAGCATTCAATTTGTGTCCCTCGTTGTCTACACATGTTTATCATTTTGCACCCCATACCTATTCCAGCTTTCGCCCCGATCCTCCAAGAAGGAGCGAGATGCCACCCACAGGAAACCCACCGGCAGGAAATTCGCCGGCAGGACATCCACCCGTTCTAGCATGTCCGCCTTCACTTTTGGATAAAGTGGATGAGATCAGGAGGCTAGGATTGCAAGACATGATCTCCTTGCCACAAATCGCAGTGGTAGGAGATCAATCCAGTGGCAAATCCACTCTTCTCGAATACATCTCCGGCGTCACCTTCCCGAAGGATGCAGGAATGTGTACTTGCTTCGCAACCGAAGTTTCTATGAGGCCAGCAGCTGAGTTCTCCTCCAAGGTGTTCATCAACAACATAGCCGACCATCGTCTCGAAGAACCAAGATCGCCAGAGGAGGTAGCTGGAGTCATCCAAGAAGCCAAAAGGTTGTTCGTCAAGGAACATGGTCAGAAAGCGATCTACGATGATATACTCACTGTCGAGTTAAATGGTCCCGGCTTGCCCATACTCACTTTGGTCGACCTCCCGGGATACATCCATACTCATTCGACCAGACAACCAGAATCGATCGTGGAAGAGATAGAAAATCTAGTCCAAGGTTACTTGAATAGCCCGAGGACGATCATAATGGCGGTGATACCTGTTAACCGAGACTTCGAGACAAACGTCGTGATCAAACACATTCGAAGGTTCGATCCGGAGGGCAAAAGGACCTTATGCGTGCTAACTAAACCCGATCAGGTCGACTCTGGAACTGAAAGAGCTGTCTTGGATGTTCTTTCGGGCAAGAAGATGCGTCTTTCTAGAGGATACCATATCATTAAAAACAAGAACTACGAAGAATGTCAAGCGGGCGACAGTCGGGCAACGACCGCCATCAAAGAATCTAAATTCTTTTCCCGTCCGCCCTGGTCCTCTATCAGTCCGACTGAAAAGGGGATTGCCAGTTTTGTCGCAAGATTATCTGATGCCTTAACAGCTCAGGTGACCAAGGAGCTCCCAGGAATCAAGAGAGAAATCCAGAATATGCGAGAAAAACTCATCAAGCAGCTCGATTCTCTCGGTCCAGTGGTCGGGACGGACCTTGAAAAATCTAATCTACTCCAAAAGAACATTAATCGTATCATGCAGCAAATTAAATTCCTTGTTGACGGGCACTACAGTGGAGGTAGATATTCGCGCAAATATTTCATCAGAGCTCGAGTTCAAACGGTCCGTAGTTTTTGTTTTTTTTTCCCTCTCCTACATTTTTTTTTTGACTTTGACATTTCCCTTTTTGGTCACGAAATTTCGATTCCCTCCCAAACAGCTTAACCGGAACTTTTACAAACACATCCTTTGCCTCACAATGGAAAGCGTGGAGGCCCTCGATGTTGCCAAGATTCTACAGGAAAGTAGAGGGCGAGAGCTACGGGGGATGGTGCAATTCGATCCGTTTGTGATTCTATGCAGAAAGGTGATCAAGAGGTGGTCCCTACCCACCACCAATCACATCACTAAGATTTGCAGCTTGGTTCAGAGTATTTCGTGCGAAGTGATCGAGAAGGAGTGCCACAAGATCCTGGTCGATTACTTTTTGGAACGGATGATTGAGTATATCGATAACCAACAGAAAAAGATTCATCTGGATGCCGCCGAAATCTTTGATGATGAACTCACACCTCTGACCTGCCAAGAATTTGATTTCCCAAGCGTCTTTGATTTCCCAAACGTCGGATCGGCCTCGACGCCAGTGCATCCTTCCCCGCCTGTTCGGCAACTACGAGAAGAACCTGCGCCTCTGATCTGCCAAGAATATGATGTACCGACCCCCGTATCGGTCTCGAAGCTTCTCCATCATTTATCGGCTACTCAGCTTGCCCCAGTTTCGGCAATCTCCACCCAACGCTTGGCTCATACTCATAAGGCGGAACCTGTTGAAGAGCCTGTAAACGAGCCGGAGAGTGAAGAGGCAACTATCTCTGACTCGTCAGATTTACTGGCACCAGTCGGACGTCGGTCGACGAGAGTAGACTCTGCCGGAGATGCCCGAATGCGGAGTTTCGTCAGGGAGTACTGCAAGGCCGCTGCGACGAGATACGTGGATGCGATCTGCTTATACGTGATCGAGCGAAGGCTCTTCAAAAAGTGCGATGTCCGGGTTAATGACTGGTTTATGGAAGATAAGTCCGCCTTGGCTCGGGTCCAGGAGTCTGCTCAAACCAGCTCGTGGCGGGAAATTCTACCGGCTAAAATCGAAAATTTAAGCCAAGCCTTGGCGATTCTTGAAAAATGATTCTGTTTCTGATCTGCTTCATAGAACGAGATGACTTTGCTCAGTTATCATTACTCCTAAGTAGAACAACTGTTGTATCAATCTGTTAACAATTCAAAAATCAAAATAAGATGTATTCATAGATAAATAGTCACGTATCTACTAAGCCTCTCAAGGAACACTCCACTTGATTGAGATGTGAAGCGTTGTTTCAATATCCTAAATCCTAGTATTCACATATAGTTCCATTTCTGCTCAATTTCATGGAAATGTAAATGACCGCTTGGTTATCCTGACCTGCCTGCCTATGTGGAACAGCTTTTGTCGTGATCTCACATTACAAATACCTCATGAGTCGAGATGGTGGAAAAATTCTCTGAGGAGGTCGCGCCGCGAAGTGCGTCTTCCAGGGTGCAACTTCAAGCCGACGTTTCCCAAACAGAGGGGTTGACTTGAGTTGGATCAAACAGATCGACGCACATAAATCTATACACCCGTGATACCGACGCCTGTGGTTGAGACCGAAGGCTTGCAGCTTGGCAGATCGTCCGACCTGAAGTGCTTGAAATCTTTCGTCATTCCCCTGGACGGCCGTGTCAACCGAAGAAGTTGCAACCGCTACCGCTTACAGAAAGCAGCTCGGAGTTTGCTTCACCTTCTCGACCTCACAGTCACACCTCTCTCGATTGGAAAGGACGTGCTTGTGTTGAGTCTTTTCGATCATCTTATGGTGTAAGCAACAAGATGCAGACGTGCTGCATTGAGCATAGTTCCAACTGAAAGAAACACAATCTCCAAATTCTTGAGAATTAGTCACTGTTGAGATGACTGTAAGGTAATCATTACAGCATTTCTTATTTCATCCTCTTAAATACAATAAGCGCACATAAAACTTTCTGAAGGGGGGAGAAAATGACGAGGAAACAAAAGAGAACACACACTTTAACAAACGAAAAGGGGTTGCTTTGTTTACTTGTCCACTTTTGAATTATAATAGAACAATGCATGTGTTTTATCTTGATTGATTGAAATATAACAGAAATGTGGTGAATACACACGTATTTCAGAAATGTCGGAAAATATAAAACACCCATCAATGGGAGAAAAGATGACAAACAGGATAAAAGATAAATACACGGCCAGTTAGGTAAGACTGTACAAGGGACAAAAGGTCGAGGCGATAATTCGAGTTTTTTTTGCGTGTAAGTGTTGGTGATCAGTGATGATGAACAAGAGAGAGATAGAAAATGCTTTGGGGCTATAGGTAGTTTGAAGATTTCTTGCGCCCAAGTTTTTGGTTATCGACATCTTTCAGAAGACTGGAGAAGACATATCGAGTTTAACTGGCTTGAGTGAGTAAAACTGAGAGATCAAGAAGAGATAAACTGTTTTACTTGATCTTGCACTTTTTTGAAAGAATTGAATAATCCTTTTTGGCCGAGAGAATCTTGGCGACGCGAGCAATAGAAGGCGAAGAGCAGAGCCATCAAGCTCAACTTCACGGGGATCTTAGCAAGCCATCCGGTTGAGGATGGATCCAAGAGACGTTTGAAGTCCAGTGGATCCGTCAGCGCGGGCGGATTGGGGTTCGATTTGCCTTTCAATTTGGACGGGCCTAAGACGGCTTGCATAAACTTAAACTTAAAGCTCGTGTAGGGCGGGTACCGACTCTTGAGTAATACGTCAGCCCAGAATGGGAAGTTCACCATCGGGCGTTCATACGTAAACGCGAGGAATGAATAGTATCCATGATAGTTTCCGAGACCCTGCGCAAAGGTAAAAGTAAATTTTCAACTCAGCTCATTTGCTGATTGCGTTAAATGGCGAATGACTATCACTCAACCGATGCTCCTACTCCGCCAAAAGGCAAGCCGGGGATGTTGAATTGGATTAAGAGATCGTTGCAGACGAATTGCCCAGATTTAGTTTGTCTGCGAACTATTGAGTTGTAAATAAATCAATGATCAGTTGTAAGCTAGAAAAACAGGCTGGTTTTCCTTTTTGATGATTGTCATGTATATTTAGGGGGTGGCTTACTAAATTCCAACTTTTCTTCGCTTTGACCAAAGGCATAGAGTGCCAAGGGGGCGGATTGACTGATTCTATGAAGGCATTGCACAATATCTTCGTGGTCATTGTTATACGTCAAGATAGGCAACAATGGCCCAAACAACTCGTTTTCCATTAGAATATCATCGTGTTGGACATTGCGTATCAGTGTAAGTGGTATCTTCAGCGAAGCAGGATCGGCTGATTCCGGCTGGGCGGAACTATTCAAGTCCAATTTGACAATTTCACCCTTGGTTTGACTGAGGTAGCTGTTAAGTCGATCGAAATGTCTTTGGTTGATGATTTTGCAGAATTTCGAATCTGACGGGTCGGTGGTGTCCCGATTAGTGGAGGCCTTGTCTCCTTGAGCATCGGGCGGGAAAAATTCCTTCAGAACCTGCTTCATGGCTGCAATAAGTTTTGATTCGCTTTGTTCCGAAACCAAGACATAATCAGGTGCAATGCCTGTTTAAGGGGAAAAAAATGATGGCATTATTAATGGTAAGGTTTGGAGCCGTCACTCAAGCAGAGGGGAAAAAAAAACTGACAAGTTTGACCTGCATTCAAGCCTTTCGCCCAAAGGATTCTCCTGGCCGCCACCAAAAAATCAGCATCGTCCAAGACGACTACAGGAGACTTTCCACCTGGAATGTAGCACTGATCAGTAATGGAAACTAAAACTAAAAAAGGGCAAAGTGGCCACACTCTGCTCACCTAGCTCCAGTGTAGTAGTGGTCAATGTCTCAGCAGCCTTAAGTGCAATAATCTTACCGATGGAAGTCCCACCCGTGAAGAAGATGTGGTCAAATCGGCAATCAAGCAGGGCAGTACTTTGCTCTTGGCCACCATTGACGACACAGATGTTCCGAGGATCCAAGTATTTTCGGACCAAGGTTGTCATGAGGTTGCTGGTCGCAGGACAGTTTTCAGAGGGTTTGAGAATGATGGAGTTTCCGCCAGCGATTGCACCGACGAGTGGACCAAACAGTACCGCTACAGGATAGCTATCGATGTATACGATTCAGAGGTCAGCAGAAACCCAAAAAAGATATAGAATATGATACAACCCAAGGAAATGGGTACATACTTCCAAGCTCCGAAAATTGCCACGATCCCTTTGGGTTCATGAGAGACCCGAGGTTTGGCAATCAGCCAAGTAAGCTCGGTCTTCACACTTTGAGGCTTGATCCATTTCTTGAGATTTTTCAACGCAGAGAGGACCTCGTTTCTCGTCCCCACCAACTCGCCCACGTGATTTTCAAGGTTTGGTCTGCCAAGCTAGCCATGTTGGAATGAACAATAGTGAAAAACCATCGATAAGCGCCTTAATCTCCTCAGCTTTTGATAAGTAGATTTAAAAGAGTTTGAGCATAGACGTACATCAATGGTGAGAGCTTCCTCCAGAAGAGATTCATTCTCTTGCAATAGATAACCTAGTTGTTTGAGTTGCTAGACGCGGGAATGGTCACAAGGATGAGGTCAGCAGGAGTGATCGAATATGAGGTAGGAACGAAGATGGGACTAACATGCTCTCTCCATTCGTAGGATTTGGTGATACCACTGGAATGGCCTTGAGAGACGGTTGCGTAAATCTGTACGGTTATTCAACATTTGTGAAGCAATCGGGTTCGATATTCCAGTTGGGAGGATAATCCGGGGGACAAGTCAGTATGCAGTGGAGTCCGGTCAAGAGGAGGGTGTGCTGATTATTGACAGACCTCTTTGATTTGTTCGGTTGGGGTGAACTCCAAGGGAGATGTTGAAGACATTATGGAAAGTTGAAAGTAGCAGTGGATACGGAGGCACTCGACACGGTCAAGAGGAACTATTTATTTTTCAATTTGGAACTTTATCCTGTGGGGTGGGTGTGAACTGCTGCTGTGCTGGTCCGCTGGGCGCATACATTCGATGATTCAAAAAGGAACCGAACAGCAAGCAAGTCGTTATGTATTTCATCAGATGGTCCTCCGAAGTCTGCAACTCTCCATCCAATTCAACACAACACCCTCCTTCATCAGCCCTCACCATCAATCCCCAGTCACGATATCGTGGTGTTAAGAGCCGTCTTTGTAGTGCGGCTTGTATCCGGACTACATACTACATCCGACGTCATAACTTGCAACAGGTTTCATGAGAATTTCCTCTCAAGACAAAAAAGACGCGCCTGGATCCACCAATTTGGCATTCCAACACTACTGAGAATAAGGCAAGGCAAATAAGTAGAAAAACTCAGCCATCATGAGTTTGCCAGACTAGAACAAACCACACTTAACGCTTCAGCATACATATAAATTTGAAAAGATCAACTTCGAATTGCACCCCTCTCCACTCGCTTTGGGAGATGGGGAGTGCTGCTCGTGAGGATTGCGGCATTCAGTGATAGTACTATCTGTACCAATCACAGGAGATGGAGAAGATGAGGGGGAAAGCAAAGGGGAGAAGAAGGAGAAAAAGTGATAGAAAAAAAACTGATCATGATATAGCCTGTAGGGAAGTAAAACAGGTCACTATGGTGCTGGGATGAATAATAGATATAGATCAGATAGTAGGAGTATGTAAATGTATTTCGTCTTCAGAAATGTTTCCAAGGCCATCTCCCCGAAATAGGCCCCTATCACTCCTTCTATTCTGACATCTGTGAGCAAATAATTTTTTGGCTCCGCCAGGAATGATTGGAGAGGCTTTAACTTTTAATTGACCAGTCCCAAATGAAATGTAAGACCAAATTTGATTCTAATGTTTTCTTATATATATCTCACATTCCATCAGCTATCAATCTACGCGAGTCATCCTAAAAAATATGCAAAATCACCTCAATTTCATGCACGTTTGACTCCAAGCAATGAAAGAATGGCGGTTGCTACTCGCCACTTGGCACTCGCTCCTGCTTGCAAAATCTGGCAGCCAGTCATCATTCCAATTTGCCTGTGATGTATATTTAGAGCTCATGAAACTGTACTTTGAATTGGCCCTAGCTCCCAAAATGAGAACTTTTGCTAACTTGTGATTTGGAATGAGCATCTGAAACTGACAAATTTAATTAGGTTACAGTCAAGCGGATAGCTTCCCTTCAATTTTAAAGCCCCCTGTAACACTTGGCACTAGCTCCTGTTTGCAAAATCTGACAGCCAGTCATCATTCCAATTTTCCCTTGGTGTATATTTTGAGCTCATGAAACTGTACTTTGAATTGGCCCTCCCAAAATGAAGGACTTTTGCTAACTTGTGATTTGGAATGAGCATCTGAAACTGACAAATTAGGTTACAGTTAAGCGGAGAGCTTCCCTTCAATTTTACAGCCCCCTGTAAATCTATTTTTAGAGGCTGTAAAGCTGTTTTCCCAGCAAAAAATTAGCTTTACAGCCCCTAAGTTTAGCTTCACAGAGCCTGTAAAACCAACAAAGTCCTCCAGTATTGCCTGTTGCATGTCAAATTTCAGATAACTTGCTAAAGTGCTGCACCTTGGGATCAATCATTGGTGTGACCATACACCATTGATGAATGGCCAGTGTCTCATGCCACCAGATGTAGAACATTCCTTTTCGCGTGTCAAAAATTGATTGATCTGGAGCTCTCATGAGGCATAAGATAAAACATAAGGTTTCAGCTCTCATGAGGCATAGGACAAAATATCAGGTTTTGATACACCATTGAGGATTGGCAGTGGCCAGGGCCTCTTGCAATCAAATTTGGCACAGGCAAATATGCTTCTGGTGCTTGGATGACATGGAGGTACAGTTTTTTTCATGATAAATTTGATTCAAGTTCAGTCCTCTGTGTTTGACATACCCCAGTATTGATTGGTCTTGTTGAAGTGAGGGATTCTGCTATTGCTAACATATTCTTGCTCTTGGATAATGATAATCTGGAACTTGAATGGTAAGGTTACAGCAACTCTTCTTGTCAGGCAATGAAACTTGGATCATCTGAAAGCACTGAGTTGTGGAATCAAACATCAAGTTGAATCTATGGCATTTCATAAGTGGTACTGTTTCTCAGCATGTGACATGGGTACTGCAAGTTTGATGCTTCTGTTTTAATGGCATTGGGTGACAGCTATTGGTCTCATTCTGATCATGATGCTTCACTGTGCATTAGACCTTCCCAAATCAATTATTCTCAGAAACTCATAAAATCATTCATCTGATTTATAAATAACAAGCAATTCTGAATATTTCATTCAACTTCTCTTTAGCCTTTTTTGCTAGTGCAGTAGACTTCACCAGCCAAACTTTGTAAGTTGGATTGGTTCATCCAAAACAAGCCTTTGGCAGTGTGGTGATCTCAATTTTTTATCCTGATACCCACACCAATTTTCCCCAGTAGGTATCACACATTTCATACTGAAAGCTAGACAAGCATTTTACATCTTAGTGTTGCAGCCAGAAATCAGTCACAAAAGATTTTATCTCACAATTTATTGTGAGTCACAAGGGGTTTTTAATGCACTAGCTGATAGCAATAGCATTAGGTTTAAGTTAAAGCTCACATTATCAAAAAATAATTCCTCCCATTATTTCACTGCAGGGTAGTTCAACAGTTGGATATAAAAATGAAGATCATTACAACTCTAATCATGATCACAATCATGTTAGATGGAATCATTCAGTCGATAGGATTGTTGGAATAAGCTTCCTTGTCTTATCCCTCGAAAGAGGAGAGCATCAGGTAAGTTTATCAGTTAACGGATAAACTTCCTGAATAAATAAAATTATTGCGCTGATCACAAAATGTGTGATCATTCGTAGAAATAGGCTGTTCAATAAAAGAACAAGAGGATAGTGTGATATTCACTTGTACATCGAGTAGTGGTGTCAATGACGTCACAGACAATGATAAGAATGATGATCCTGATCAATCGTCGAACTCTAGGTGAGTATCAAGAGATTGAATCAGAGAAAGAGAATTGAGAACAAGAGGTCAACAAGTTCTAATTCTTGATTCATCAAAAATCATCATTCTTCATTAGTCTACACTTGTACAACATTCCTCAACGCAAACTTATCTCCCGTATATTTCCACCGATAGTCGGTGAGTAAAAGAGAGAATTTGATAGCCTTTTTCTTAAGTTAGAAAAAGAGAAATTATGACTAATTTATTTCTAAACTCGATGATCTTATGTGATATTCATCAAACAGTCAATAACACTTAGTTATTAAATCAAAGACAAATATTATCTTACCGATTAAAGTAAAGTCTTTTCTTTACTTTTGGAAGTCAAAAGAGAAATGATAAATTCTACGAATGAAGGCTAACAATGTTTTGATCTTCTGATCATTTAATTCAGTCAATTAAAATATTATTATCTGAATTATTTATTCGAGATCATTTCCTTTATCATTGTTATTAAGTCTTAGCATTCAGATTTATCTAGATCAGTTCTGCCTTCAGGTACTGCTCTCATTTCTCTTTTCACTTTAATTTATTTATATTTATTTGTATTTTTCTATTAAGAATATAAACTTACAAAGAAATAAAACTACCTTCAGTTTCAAATTCTTTCAGATTTACAGTCTCGAAGCTCAATTACGACCTTACGCGCACGTTTTTGGACGATTTTCGAAGGCAGAGCTCGATCTGATTCTGAATAAAAGACGATGGAACCTTTTTCTCGAAAAGATGCTATGGACGACAAAGGGATCACATCTATTCCCAAATTGAATGGCGAAAATTATTCTATCTGGGAATCAAAAATGAAACTGTTTCTCGACTCTCGTCAGCTCATTGAAGTTTGTCTCCAAGAGCAACCATCTCCTCCAACAGATCTCGTCGCCGCAAAACACTCTTGTGCATTGTTTCATCTCAGTTCCGCCATTGATGATTCAATCTATAATTCAGTGTTCAAATTATCTTCAAACATTACGCCTTACAGTGTTTGGACGGCCTTGAAAAAGAAATACGCTTCAAAAACAATTTATTCCTTGTGCAAAGTCTGGCGAACTTGGGATACTATTCATTGTGATCGAGGTTTAATTTCTTATGTTGATCGATGCTTGGAATGTCTCGGAGAATTCAAAACTATTGGATACGACGTTACGCAAGATGTCTTCGCCGTCTGCATTATCAGCCAAGTTACAACGATTAAGCAGGATTTGATGGAAGGTCTGATGTTGGATGAAGACTTAGTCTCCGACCCTTTTCGATTACTTGAAAAATTGAGAACTTTAGCCGTCCATGAACGCGTCATGAGGCCAGACAAGTCATCAATTCCTTCGACTTCTGCATTGCCTACGGACTCTCACAAGAAACGGCCATATCAACATCCCTGCGAACACGGCCATGATCCAAAGCAGAATCATAAGCAGAAAAATTGTTGGTACGACAATCCGCACAAGAAGCCAAAGAGATTTCAGTCTAATTATCAACCTGCTAGAGCCACCATTACGCAAACTTCTTCAAGAAATGACGCACAATCTCAACCCTCTAGTAGTAATGATAATAACGAAAATGCTGTGCCTGCTTTTGGCTATTGTAGCGTTATCAAGTCGACTCCCGTAGTTAAGCCTGGTGCTATACTCGATTCTGGTGCAAGCAACCATATGTTCAACTCCTTAGACTTTTTCATCAACAGCGAACCGGCCTTTATCTTTATTATTACGGGCGATGGAAAATCTAGAGAGGAACTTGTTGCCACTCGAAGAGGGACAGCTCTAATCCAGCTCGTTGATAATAAAATTATTACTCTTAAGAATTCTCTTTTTGTTCCCAACCTTACTCTAAATCTAGTTTCTTTATCTCAACTCATAGACAACAGTATCTCAATTCAACGAACTGGAAATCTATTTGAAGTTATTTCAAACAATCAAGAAAGACTTTTCTCTCTCGATCTTTCGAATCAATTATTTGAAATTCACAGCGATGTTTCTCCTGTTCATCAACAAACGATGACTATGCTAGCCGATTCAAATGCAGTCACCGGATTTACTAAGTGGCATAATCGACTTGGTCACGCTAGCAAAGATCGCTTGAAAGCTGTGATACCTTCAAACGAGAATTTAATTAAAGAACGCTGTTGCAACTCTTGTATGAAGGGTAAAATGATTCTAAAAAGCTTCAAACATCATTTTGATCCAACTTCTGCGGCACTCGAAGTTGCACACGGAGA